CTAACTCTCACTGCTTGCCTAAGATGTCTGGATGTTGTTGCTGCTGCTGCTGTTTATGAAGAGCATCAATGGGCTTCTAATCTAACTTCTTCCTACCTTCGCCCCTGCCCCCCACAAGCTCCCCATTAAGGCTCTCCTTTAAGAACTCCTTAAGTGAACATCAAAAAATTCGGCTTGCAACCTCCTGCAGCTTCTGACACTTTTCTTAGCTCCTCCCTGTATGATTCCTTGGCACATCTCCCCAACGTCACCAGTATTGCATGTTCATTACTGTCACTCAGTCCTAAGAAGTCAATTTGCTTTCTATGGTGGTAGAAGGGAAAGGTGAAGTTACTCATTAAAGGGATGCAATTAAAGGAAACGCCATGCCAAGTTGAGTTTTCTCCACCGAGCGCCACCCTGGAGGTTGCTCAAACTCAATTACTCATCACCCTGCTTGTTAGGGAGAACAATGTGTTGTACAGACCCTAGCTCCAAGCGACCTTGATGGCTGCGTTTTTATACTTGCGTGGCATTTCCAGACTCACAGGGGGCTCATGAAACATGATGCTGTCCATATGCAAGTAATCCCAAATTAGGCCGTCCCAAGGTGTGTGCTGTAGGTGAAAGTCATGTACCTCATATGCTGTGACTTACACAGGCAAGAAACCCTTCTTTACAATAAGCTGTAGGAGTTTATTTAAAACAGTCACTGCATATTTATATTCAACCTTCACAGTGCCTTCATTCCAGGAACTGTAGATTATGGAGCACCATTTATTTCTGTTGATTTTGTCGCTGACTTAGGGGGTGGCCTCACTGTGTGATACACCCATGCATCAGGTTTGTCACTTTATTGTTGCTGTTGTTGTAGGTCTATGTATTGTGAGTCGCAGAGGCTCTGGTGATGTCCTCCAGATGTGAGAATGATTCTCAAAGTGTCTTAGACTGAGGAGGCGATGGTTGCCTCATGATCGTTTAGATCAGCCTTTCTCAACCTGATGTTGTTGAACTACAACTCCCATCACCCCTAGCTAGCAAGCCCAGAGCTCAGGGATGATGGGAGTTGTAGTCCAACAACATCTGGGGACCCACAGGTTGCGAACCACTGCTTTAGATCCTGGAAATGTCAGCCTTGGATCTGGTATGTTCTGTCATGGTTCGCTTCCACTCAGGTTCCCAGAAGTGTCTGGTTATAAGGGTTTGAGGGAGAGACCCAAACGTGAGCCCACCATCATCCCAACCTGCTTGGTAGCTCAACATGGCTGCTTTGTCTTTGATTTTTCCACCTCTGTGTAGCGTTTGATACATCAGGGCTTGTTAAAAGATTGCAATCAATGAAAAATGAACGAGAAGGGAAATGAGAATCAATGAACTCAACGAGATCTTTTATTAGCATTATCCTGTATCAGTGATCACCCTCTCCCTTCTTCAGCGGTGTATAATTTAATAATTGCATCCACACCACACCATTAACGGTCTTTTCTCTTTCCGTGACCCACGGATCATTTACTCCTCTACGAATGTAGGGTTCTGCTAAAGAACTATATAGATTTCACATTTTGGTTTCATTTACCACATTACGGCAAATGGGAGTTGATTAGGATTTTCCATAGATCATTAGCAATTGTTTTCCACCTAGCAGATAGCACCATTACAAGAAATCTATCATATCACGGAGAGCCCATCCTGCCTGTTGTTTGTGTGTGATTTATTATACTCACAGTGGAAATGCTGTTAGTGAACATTGGGGAAGCAGTGAATATATTGAGAAATATCAATGTATCCTCATGTTCTAGCTGGTGGTGACAGTCAGTGATCCATCTCCCTGACACTTACCTTGTTAACATTTTGATCAGATGGCAAATTTGTCATTTTTCATGGTAACAAGTTTGCACAAAAATTGCAGATAGATGAGGAAGATTTCTATTCCCCCCCCTTTTTTTTTATAAAAAAGACCTTCTCTTAGAATCCCCCCTCCATTGCATGATGTAATCGGTAATCTTTCAGGAAAGTGAAATAATTACTTTTTGGAAAGTGTATCCACTGGAAAATGTACCGTTTTGAGAGAGGTCCAATTTCTCTTCATTTGAAGAAGCAACGACCTCCTGCTTTTGACATTACTGACAGTTTGATTAACAGACCAAACCTACATGAAATGATAATGCGCCACCAAACTCTCTCAGGGCCAATATTTCTCTGTATATTCGTTGTTTTAAGCGTCCGGGTGCTTTGGTAGTAAAATGGAAGTTCTCTTTGCAGAGTTGGTGAAACGCCACATCCTGGCGGTCATATAATCATTAGCTGCAGCCTCAGGATAGCAAAGCACAGCCAGACATCAATTGTTTTAGGGATGCTTCCAAAAAAATTAATAATTCTTTGCCTGCATCTCGAAGTTCTGGATTGCCTGGTTTTGTTTTTGAGGTGGAACTGATGCATTGTTGTTGTTTAGTCATTTAGTCATGTCCGACTCTTCGTGACCCCATGGACCAGAGCACGCCAGGCACTCCTGTCTTCCACTGCCTCCCGCAGTTTGGTCAGACTCATGTTTGTAGCTCCGAGAACACTGTCCAACCATCTCGTCCTCTGTCGTCGCCTTCTCCTTGTGCCCTCCATCTTTCCCAACAACAGGGTCTTTTCCAGTGAGTCTTCTCTTCTCATGAGGTGGCCAAAGTATTGGAGCCTCAGCTTCACGATCTGTCCTTCCAGTGAGCACTCAGGGCTAATTTCCTTAAGAATGGATGCGTTTGATCTTCTTGTAGTCCATGGGACTCTCAAGAGTCTCCTCCAGCACCATAATTCAAAAGCATCAATTCTTCGGCGATCAGGCTTCTTTATGGTCCAGCTTTCACTTCCATACATCACTACTGGGAAAAACCTTGCTTTCACTATACGGACCTTTGTTGGCAAAGTGATGTCTCTGCTTTTTGAACTGATGCATTAGGAATCCTCCATTGTTCTTTTTTTTTTATTATTTCTAAAGTTTGTAGAAAGTACTGTGCACATGCATTAAGCTACAGATTTCTGTTCCCTCAGTTCATTTGGGGGTCTTCCCTTCATCTGTGTCACAAGCAAATTGCACAATTGCACCCCAGAATTCAAGAGTGCTTCTCACTCTGTTGGCTTTGGGTGGAATGGGGGTGGGGTTGATTTCCAAAGCTGTGTAAAATTTGTTCTGTCCCAGATGAGACCATATATTCTTTTTTTAAAAGAGAGAAGAAATTGCTCTCTAAGGAGGCATGTCGACAAAGGAACAATCCCTGGGAAAGTATACCCTTGGTGGACGACCTCCGAGATCAAACCAAAACATGGATAATTTCAGGTCTTAGTGGTTTTTCTAAGATAAAAGTTTCCCAACTTTCACTGTGAAACTCTGGACAATAGTTCCTGACAAAACAACGCCAGATAGTTTCACCTTCCAATACTGTGCTGGAATATTTGCTATTATCTGTGATGGAGAGAGGATATCTTCTCTTCTGGAACGGAGATGGGCGGCGGAGGGGGGGGGGATGATCTTCACAATGTAACGTCTTGGGCAGATTCCACAGAGAAAGGAAAATAATGAAAGATAGTGCTCTAGTAATTAAAGTTTCAGGCAAGAGGGGCCAAGTCTGCATCATTCTTATGAAACGAGGAATAAATGGGAGATCATAGAACAGCCTCATACTATGATGGATTTTATTATTATTATTATTATCATCCTTCATCAGAACAGCTGGGTTCTACCCCGGGGCTGTAGACTGTGTTCCTAGTGCTTTCTTTGTTAGATGTAATTCTGAGACTTTGAATCCTCAATAGGCAGAGCAATATCGGCAATAAATCACAGAAAGTAGGAAAAAGCCTAAAGTAAGATGAACATACAGGGTGAGTGGGTTGGGTAACAGGAGTGGAGGTTAGGTAACATAAGAAACCAGAAGGATGAAGTAGGGGATTTCAGAGTCCCTGGGCACTCCCTTCAGAGAGGGGGTAAGGTGGGGCTCAAAGTAGGAACCCCTCCACCCAACCAAATCATGTGATGATTTGCCAGGGAGAGTGTAGCAATGCTAGAAAACATTCAATGACTCAGAATGTGGGAAGATTCAGGACAGAAAAAGATGGAGTCTGATAGGATTATTTGGTTGACCAAACATAAACAGAAAGCCTAGTGCAAGAACATAAGAGCCTTGCTGGATCAGGCCAAGGACTCATCCAGTCCAGTGTCCTGAGTAACACAGTCCTAGTCTCTGGCCAGTGTAGTTATCACGTATTGCCTGGCCACTACAGAGGCTGATGTTGAAAATCCTATATGCACTTAGAAAGGGTTCTGGAGCTGAGCAAATGCCATCTATGGTAGTGTATCAGGCTAGGCCACAGCCTCAGACTATGATGCTCATAGTGCAAGCCCGGCGTATTTATTTTATGTTATGTTATTGAGAACTCTTAGATACTGCTGATTCTTCAGCGGCAAATTCTGTACTGCACTGCGGCCAATGCCATTTTGGCCTGAAAAGTCTACATCCTTTGGATTACTGTGATGGTGTCGCATGATACAAATTTGGCATGGTCTGTTGATGGCGGACTTCACAGCTCTCTTCAAGGAGGGAGCATATCGTTGATTTTGGAGCTTGATGGGAGTTGTGGTCCAAATGTTCACCACCCCTGGTCTAAATGCTCATTGTTAATCCACTCCCCAAACAATTCAAGTAGCACCTTCAGTTATCTGGCTCCATCACATGGGCCTCATTTCACACTGTTTGCGGAAATGATAGAAAAAATCTGTCAGGGATCATGGAAAATACAGTGGTACCTTGGGCTACAGACGCTTCAGGTTACAGACTCCGCTAACCCAGAAATAGTACCTCAAGTTAAGAACTTTACCTCAGGATGAGAACATAAGTCGCGTGGCAGAGTGCAACGGGAGGCCCCATTAGCTAAAGTGGTACCTCAGGTTAAGAACAGTTTCAGGTTAAGAATGGACATCCAGAACGAATTAAGTTATTAACCCGAGGTACCACCGTACAGAAAATAAGGACAATTAATAAGCATCATAATTTGGTTGGTAGAGCATAAGACTTTTAATCTCAGGGTTGTGGGTTCCAGCCCCACGTTGGGCAAAATATTCCTGCATTGCAGGGGGTTGGACTAGATGACCCTCGGGGGACCCTTCCAACTCTACAATTCTGTGAATAGAAGGAGAATGAAACAATCCATTAAATTCAGAGAAAGATGAAGTTTTCAGGACTATTTCTTTTAAAGAATTGTGAGAGTGCCTTCAGTAGTTTGAGAGTATGGCGTCAGAAATGTGCAGCCATACACATCCAAATATTTTTTTTAAAGACTTGCAGAGAAATCTGTGTGACTGAAGATGCTTTCAGAAGATTGCATTGTAGCAAAACATGGCACCCAGCGGATGGCTTGATCACTATTGCAAACCCAGAGCGTCTTGTGCACTTGGTGAATAATGAATGGGCATCTTCATGTCCCCTCCTCCGACATCAGATGCTGGAGAGGCGTATAGCATTCTCTTCTTCCCCTAGGCTGCATCCAAACAATGGCTTTTTTCTTCTTGTTGTTCTTCTACATTCACTCTGACCTTTCTGCTGTTTAGAAAACAAAGGCCAGTCCCAGCTTCCATATGCCAATCTGTGATTTCCACACACACACACACACACTGTGCTTATTGTCAGCCTAGAAGTAAAAACAAAACAAAACCCGACAAAGGTTATTTCAGATATATGGTTTTTGGTATATTTTTTTTAAGCCACATTGTCTTCCCTTCTTAGTTACCCTGTTGCATTTGTTAAATGGCTGTGACAAAACAAAAATGTAAAAAATCTCAGCCTTGGCACTTGGGGCTTCTTCTTCTTCTTCCCTGGCTGTATTTTAGCAATGGCACATGAATAAAGAAGGAAGGTTTTGTACTAGTCCAAGGAGACTGGGTCGACTGTATTGGAGGAAATGAGTGAAATATAGTACAGTGGCATTATATGTGTGTATATCCTCTATGCCTCAAGAAAAGGGGCTTAAAACCATTGCCAATAAAGAACCATCTCCCCACCAAATCCCCTTCCAAGCCCTGCAGAGTTTTCAAAGTTCGACCTTGACAAAAGCAAGGCAGGAAGCCCAAAGAGCGTTCTAAACAAATATTGACTTTTCTAAAGCCATTGCAAAGATCCACAGCTGACATATAAGATAGGTTCAGTGACCTTTGATAATGTCCATTTAGCCGCATCCTATGCCCTTTTCCCCCTGTTCTCTTTTTTTGCAACAATGGCTTTATCCTTTAGAGCAGGGAAGAGCTGTGGGCCAGTCCACTCTCCCTCAGACCATGTGGTGGGCCGGACTATATTTTGAATATATGTATATATATATGGGACGCAGGTGGTGCTGTGGGTTAAACCACAGAGCCTAGGACTTGCCAATCAGAAGGTTGGCGGTTCAAATCCCCATGACGGGGTGAGCTCCCGTTGCTCGGTCCCTGCTCCTGCCAAACTAGCAGTTTGAAAGCATGTCAAAGTGCAAGTAGATAAATAGGTACCGCTCCAGCGGGAAGGTAAACGGCGTTTTCGTGCGCTGCTCTGGTTCGCCAGAAGCGGCTTAGTCATGCTGGCCACATGACCCGGAAGCTGTACGCCGGCTCCTTCGGCCAATAAAGTGCTGCAACCCCAGAGTCGGCCACAACTGGACCTAATGGTCAGGGGTCCCATAACCTTTACCTATATATATATATATGAATGAATACCTATGCCCCACAAATAACCCAGAGGTGCACTTTAAATAAAAGCACACATTCTACTCATGTAAAAACACCAGGAAGGCCCCACAAATAACCCAGAGATGCATTTTAAATAAAACCACACATTCTACTCATGTAAAAACACCCTGATTCCCAGACCGTCCATGGGCCGGATTGAGAAGGCGATTGGGCCGCATCCGGCCCCCGGGCCTTAGGTTGCCTACCCCTGCTTTAGAGGGTTTGATTTCATCACAACTGGGAAGCTTACTTGTAAACTACTTTAAAAGGTAGGCGGAACTGCAGTTTCCGAGCTAAATTATTTCTCCCCCGCCTCCCCCCATGCTTTAACCCAGGGATAAAGCCCCACATTTGGACTTGGAATGTGAACGTAATGAACATTGGCAGGAGCTCCCCTTAAATGGGATTTCCGTATCATGGAAATTGGTCTCTCCTCTGTTGCTCCTGGCACCAAGTCGCAAAGCAAACAAAGACGTTAATTGCTTTCCGAGCAGTGGAACACCCCACGCCCGTCGGCGTAGCCCTGCGGTTCCATTCTAGATGTTAACTGGATCCCCGCAATAGGATCATAGGGAAAAAATTGAGTGGCCTTCTGGGGCTAGCACAGCTTGCTCGCTTCTTTCGCTTTCTCTGTGGGCTAACAACTCTGTATAATACGAAGTGAAACATTGGCCACTTCTGAGAGCGATTGTCAGGCATCATGCCGCTAAACTGGCTTGGCTTGCCAGCAATTATGCATGCTTCTCCTTCGCTTTTTTGTTTTTAAAATTCAATTCTGTTGCTATCGTTGCCTACCCGGGATTTCACAATTAAATGTTCTCCTTTCCTTGCTTTCCTTCTTTTCGTTCCCCTTGGCACAATCAGCAAGGATTCGGCTTTTTATTTTTATTTTTTTTTTTGCTAGCGTTGTTATTCACCGTTACATAGCTACATTTCCTTTCAGTGCTCAGACCAGTACTAGAACCAGGGAAACCCAGGTTAGAATCTTCATGCAACCACAAAGTTCGCTGGGTGATCTTGGGCCAGTCACTCTCTCTGACCATATCCCTCTTCCTCTGAGCCTCTGAGCTTAACCTACTGCATGGATCTGTTGTGAAATAAAAGGAGGACAACTGTGTTGGACGCTCTGAATGCTTTGGAGGAAGAGCAAGATTATAACTGGTGTGTTTCACTATGTGTTGCATTTCTGCACAATGTGAACATAGAAGACGTAAGCAGGGCTTTTCTCAGTCAGAACTCGCTGAAACTCAGTTCCGGCACCTCTCAGGTGGGCGCCATTACCATTACAAGAGAACAAAGGAGACATTCATTGTGAGTTCCGGCCTCTCTTTTTCCAGAAAAATAGCACTGAAAGTAACCTAATGTCAAGGGTTCCTCCCACTGGGGTTCCAGAATGCCATGTTAACTTTTGTGAGCAGAGACACCTGGTGAACCTTCAGGTTGACACACTTCCCATCATAGGACACCCCCTGCTAAGGCTACTATGTCCTCTTACTACATGGCCTGCCACCGAGGCAATTAATCCCAAGCATCCTCAATATCCTTCTGTAACCACCTTCTCATCCCATCGGAGGTCAGCAGAACTGGCTGGCTGACCCTTTGTTGCACCAGATTTCTCTTTGGTTTGTCACCGAGGTTTGTACCTCTACACATCATGAAAGGGTCTTCTCAGTGGTGGCTCCTGGTTTTGGATTGCCTCACTCTTGAAATCCGGCTCACACCAGCATTGTTTTTTCTATCTTTCTTTCAGCACCAGCTAAAAAGTCACCCCTTTAGCTATGCTTCTTATATCTCAAGCTGGGATAGCTCAGTCAATAGATCATGAGACTCTTAATCTCAGGATTGAGGGTTTGAGCTCAACTTTGGGTGAAATATTCCTGCATTGCAGCAGTTGGACTGGATGATGTTTGTGGTTCCACTGAACTCTACAATTCTATATCCTGCCCTCCCTTCCAGAGCTCCCTTAGTGATTTGACTTACTAGTTTGCTTAACATGTTTATTAACTGCCCTCCACCAAATGGTCCCAAGGTAGCCTACAAAATACAAAAAAATTATCATAATTCACTATAATTGAACAACAGCATCAAAAGAATTGCAACCACAAAACCACGAGCAGTATAAAATAACTACACAGGATGATTGTCAATAAGTCAGAAGTGATGTATTAAATGATTGACTTGTGTTAGTTAGTGGGTTGTTATACTGATTGTTTTCATATTGTTTTGATGCTTTTACTGGAATTTTATTGTTAGCTTTATGTTTTATTTGATGTACCCCATAGCGGAATCACTTGATTGATGGAGGGTGAATAAAAAAAGTGGAATAAATCTGGGGCAAGTCTATAAATACATACATAACAGATTGCTTTTCAGCTGATACATTTATTTTATTTTGCCAAAGACCCCATAATGGTTTTAAACAATAAAAAACTACTATTAAATATATGCTACAATCTATGTCACAAGCTGAAAACAAAAGCGCATCATTTCTGAGATAAGAAGGAAGTGTGTGTTGATTAGAGGAGAGGAAATATTCTAGAAAGAAGGGGAAAAGATTTCTGTGGATTCTGCTATAGAACTTAATTACATGTTATATAGAGCAGATTTATTTTCCTGTAGGGTAGAGATTGCACATTGTTATTACTTCCAGGCTAGTATGTGGTGCTTTGATGATTTTGCCCAAATTACCATTTTTAATCTTAAAATGAGAATGTGTTTGGAAATTTAACAAGGGTCAGGCAGGTCCTGTTGAAAAACAAAGAGAAGGGCTGTAGCTCTCGTAAACTCTTATCCATGGGTAATTATCTTGTTATGTTAAAGTGGTTCTCCAGAATATTAAAATAATTAGGACCAACAATCTCAGCCCTGCTTTCCTCAGATGCTGTAATTGGCAAGGGGTGTTAGCTAATTAAACGTATTTATATTACTGGTTGGCTAAAGAAAAGGATGAAGCACTTGTAATTACTGGAATTCGGCGAGATCACGTACTTACTACAGAGAATAAACATGTAGATTATAGCATTTGTGATGGGCTAATAGCTGGAAACAGCAATCTAAACACAGCATATTGACATATCAGTCCAGACAAGATGCAGGCACCATTAGTGGGTGCTTCATCTGCCCAGGTGAGTGGTGTTCAATGTGTTTTAGAAGGAGTTGTATTTTCCCCACCACACATCCCAATTCCATGTACAAAAGCCAATAGAACTAGGAGCTGAAGTTTGCTTGGAGACTGCCAAGGCGCCGCATCCTGTGCCACACCTGAGGGCAACAGGCTACCTTAGGGACTGCAGAGCGGGCTATGTGACACCAAAGCTTTGCTCCCCTGTATTACTGCCACTCTGGGTGCCTCTCAGGATA